AGCGCAGGAGAGGCGCCCGGATGGACGGCCTCCGTCTGCTCATCCTGGGGTGGGGCTGGGAGCCTCTACAGTCCGCTCACAACTTTTGAAACCATTCTGGAAGAACTTCACTAGACAAGGGCTGTGAAAACTGGGGAGAATATCTGATTATTTCCAAATATGATCTTGAAAAAAAAATAAAGAGGCTTTGTTGAGAAACTTTCCTGCCAGTGTCTGTCTTGGAATACTGAACCTTCCACTCATTGCTCTAGAAAAATAAACGATTGATTCATTTAGGTCCTGCCAAGGAGATCTCTTTGGCCAGGGATCCCGGAGACACTGAGAGTCACACCATCCATGCTGTTCTGTCGCTGGCTTTGGAGTCGAAGCACTGCAGGCCGAGGCCACGTGGACACGCGCAGAAACCCCAGGGCGGGACAGCCGTGGGTGGGCGCAGCTGGGCGGTGACTGCTCCCCTGAGCCAGCTGTCTGCGAATGGGGTTTCCCTGAACTGCTGCAGGAAACAGCCTTATAATTAAAGCTCTGTGAGTGTTTCCGTGAAACAGTTTCCTGAAAGTGGAGTTGCTGGGCCCCGAGCCCCACAGCCAGACCACTCACCACTAGCTGTCCTTTCTCAGAGACAGTGAAAACTTGGTGGGGGGAGGGGCATTAAGAAACCCCAGAAGACACGTGTCCAGGGTGGGATGTGGTGAAGAGGTTGCCCCAGACCGGAAGCCCACAGCCGCCAGGATGGGTACCTGGCCCACAGGCCCAGCCAGCCGGAAGGGGTCCTTCCGGGAGCCAGTCCCTTCTCCCTAGGCAGAACTCAGGTTGTCCCTCAGACCTGGGGCCTGTGACCCAGGGTGTGACAGGGCCAAGACAAGCTGGGCACATGGGGCTTTAGCTGCCAGGGTCTTAAGTGTCCAGAGGGAAGTCAGCCCTGCAGCCCTCACCCAGCCCAAGCGCCCTCCCACCCCGCCACCCGGACCTCCAGGGAGTCGCAAGGGAGTTGCTGACCTGTCCCCTGAGAGAATAATAGTATTAGTGATAAGGTGGCCTCTGGCAGCTTCATCAGCAGATTCAAAGCTTTGGGCTGAGTAATCCTTTGGCGTCTGCCCCAGCAGCTGGTGGCCACAGATCGGGAGACGCTCCCGCCCGGGTCCTGCTGGGCTGTCATCCTTTCCTGTCACACAGTCTCAGCTCTGGCTGGGCCCCAGGGGAGAGGGGACCTCGACAGGGATCAGAATGATTGAGAGGGCAGCAGAATGAAGCTAAAATAAACAGAGTGAGCCCAGGGAGGGAAAACCATGCGGGTATCTTTATCTTCAATAGATTTTTTATTTTTATTTTTTGCCATTCTGTCATAATACATACCTACTATAGAATATTTAGAAAATTTAGACAAGTTAAAAAAGACTCTTGTCCATTTTGTGCCTTGTTGTCCACGTGTAAAGGTGACCGGAAACTCTGAGCCCGGGCCCTGGAATCTTCTGTCGTCTGGACTGTGCAGAGGGGGCTGGCCCGGAGTGAGGTTCAACACTAAGAACAAGACCTGGCCCTGATGGGGCCTCCAGAAGGAAAGCTGAGGAGTCAGGGCAGGCGGCCGGGAAGAGGTGCGCCTGAACAGGCCCGGAGGGAGGGAGGGGGCTGGGCACTCCAGAGGCAGAGCTGCGAAAACCTGTGGGGAAACGAGATCCTTCCTTCTCCGCCTGCAGGGCCTTCTCTGATGCCTTCGACTCCTTTCCTGTGGTCCTCCCATGCAATTGCTGGGAGGAATGAAGTCGGGGGCAGTCCTGGTAACCTACCTTCTCCCAGTGTTTGCCTCCCTGCTGAGGACTTCAGGGAAAACCTGATACCCGACCCCACACACAGCAGGGCCTCAGAGCCTGCTCCGAAGCCCCTCCCTGAGGCTCTTCCCCACAGCGGTCACCCCCAACCTCTGCCCTCTGACCTGCTTCCACCTGCCTCCTCCCTCTCAGCGGGGACTGGGGTAATGCCTTTAGTGTCATCTCCTTTAATCCCAGCACACCCCCAAGAAGACACTAGTTGACCCAGTTCAGAGATGATGAGCTGAAACGCAGAGAGGCAGGGTGTCTTGTCCAGGCTCACGGGGCAGAAAGGTCGCGCTGAGCGAAGATTAAAGGAGTTCACGTGTGTAGACACTGAGAACTGTGCCTGGCACATAACAATTTCTTAATAAATATTTCCTATCATTGTTCACATTTGTTTCAAATTAGCAAGGGTCTTCGAAACACAAAAACCCCTCTCCAGGCCAAAGTCAGCCCCTCCGAGCACTCTGCCACCCCCGGGCTGCCAGGTGGCGGCCAGCTGGTCCCCCACAGGCTGTATATTTGCTTTATCTGACTTTTTTTGGTCTCCCAATTTTAAAAGGAATTCCTCTTCTTAAATATTTTTTAAATATCTCCTTTGATTTTTTTTAAAAAGGTCTTTCCTTAATGCCACCCTTCCTACAAAGCCATTAGCTCTGTCTCCTTCCCTTCTCAGTGAGTCTCTGCTTTCAGTCCCCCTCCCACCCATCCACCCCCTTACACCCCCCCCTCCCACCCCGCCTCCCCAGGCTCTCCTCCTCTTCAGAACCTCTGCCAAGGCACCAGGCTCCTCTGCTAAAGCCAGAGATGTCAGAGTCTCTCCGTGGAGGGCGCCTTGGTGGAAAGCAGGAGCTTGGGGATCAGACACACTGTTTGAAAGCTGTCTCCACCCCCAATCCCCTCCACGGCTCAGTAGCTGTGTGGCCTTGAAGCTTCACCTCTCTGGAACTCAGTTTCCTCGTCTGTGAGTTGAGGCTGATGAGGATAAATTCTTCAGAGTGTTTCTGTGAGTTTTGAACATGATACTGCAAGTATTTGTGTGTGAACTCTTCCTGAGTGCTTTCCCGTTCTTCTTACTCATGACACAAAAGACCACATGGGACACTTGGCCGGGTTGAGTCCTCCCCTTCCTGTCCTGCCTTGGCCCACGCTGTGCTAAATTTCCCTCTCAGCTCCTTTGCCAGCAGCTCTTCCTGGGCCCAGAGCTCCAGGATCAGAGGCCCTCACTTAGACTTTGGCGTTTTCCTCCCAGCACACACGTGCTCCAGGGGGCCCCAGGCCTGGCCCTGCATGCCCATCTCTGTGCAGACAAGGTGTGCAGGGTTTGCTGGGGCCTGTGGATGGTCCCCACAGCAGGCTGCAGGTGCTGGAAGCTCAGGGAAGAGCCCCAGGCAGGAGTGTGGTGTGAAGTCAGCAGGGAAGCCAGGAATGTGTGTGCGAGGTCGCCCAAGGAGGGAAGGAGAAGGTCTGCTGGGGCCGAACTCAGGGCCACCAGGAGGCGGGGACAAGTTCCAAGCAGGGAGGAAGAGGGTGAAGATCTGAGTTCCCAAAGAAGAGGGAGAGAGGAGCTTTGGGACAAAAAGGTTGACCAGCCAAGTTCAAGGGAAATGCCACTGGCCTTGGCCTGAGAGGTGAGGTGGAGCTGGAGACACTGTGGCGGAGGGTCCCGAGGGGCTGCCTGGCAGGAGAGGTGGGTGGAGGGGTGATGACAGAGGCAGAGGTCAGGTAAGAGGCCTCAGCCCAGTGGCCTCGATCTCCTAAGGCCTCGGAGAGCATATCACCCTGTGAGGTCCCTCAAGCTGACTTTCCAAATCCCCAACAGTGCTCCTCTGTCACATTGAGGGTTAATGCCACTTACACAGGGCCCTGCCCCTACCCGTCTGTCCCCTTAGCTCCACCATCTTCCCAGAAGCCTCACACTACTCCCCCTCCTACCTGGGCCTCAAGGCTGGGCCACCCCCTTCCCCTGGCTCACCCCAGAGGTGAGCTCCAGTCTGCTGAGGATGGGGGCCCCCTCCAGACCAACATGGGGCTTTCTGCTCCAGCCTGGGCACAGGGTAGGAGTGGGGGAGGGGTGGGCAGGGAAAGAAAAGTTTGTTTTCTGAGGATTGCTCCGTGATCCTCTCAATACCCTTGGGAAGTAATGATAACAACAGCACCCACCATTGTTTATACTCTCACACTGAGGGCCTCATGCTGAAGCACTTCGAGAACGATCTTCCTGAGCACCTCTAACTGTACTGTGAGACGGGCACCTTGTCACCGCTTTACTTGCTCAGGGACGCAGGGCTGGCCTGGGAGGGAGCAGGGATTTAAACTTGGGTCCGTCTCTGCTCTCTCCACCCTCCCTCTGGGGCCTGGTGCTTTGTCCAAGGAGGCAAACTCCTTCTGCCTCCTCCTCTCATAACCATTACTGGGCTCCTGGCTCGGGCTGGGAAGACTGGGCCTGGGGACAGCTGAGGGGCCAGCCTGCCTGGGCCTGTGAGGCCAAGTCAGGGAAAGAAGGGGAGGCCGCCTGAGAGCCTGTAGTCAGGCTCGGGAGCTGTGTCTTCACCCGCTCCTGTCCCGCAGGCCTGGTCCCCCAGGTGGGCAGGAAAACCACCTGCCAACTCCCCTTCTGCTGCCTTGCAGGCCTGAAGGCGACCCTCCACTCTGGGCCCCAGGCCTCCCCGCCTCCAGGCCATCCTCGGGCCCTACATCGGGCCCATTCCCATGTGTGATGGGCGCCGTGTCTGTGCTGAGTTTCTGGGGAATGCTAGTCTTTCAGGGGGGCCAGGACCCTCAAATCCTGGCCCCTCAGCAGTCCCTTATCAAGGGAGTGGGGGAGAACCACCAGGGTGAAGAGCTGGCCCACCCCAGACCCACAGCCGGCCCGGCGCACACAGGGCCACACAGAGGTGCGCACACCTCGGCCACCCTTGTCCCCAGAAGCAGACTGAGCACCTCAAAAAGAATAAAGTCCTGGAGGAAGTGGAGTCCACACCTCCCTTCAAGACTTGGCATTGGATGGCGAACAGCTTGACAGCACTGGGCAGAAAGGACCCAGGGACGCTGGGCAGCCCAGGGGCTGGTGTGCGGCCAGCAGGACTGACCGGCTCCAGCGGCACCTTGGTAACGCTGCAGGTGTGACGGGTGATCCTCTGCAGAGACGGTAAAGATTAAGAGGATCATACGCTGCGTCCAGTGCTGCCCTGAAAGGAATCTCCTCGAGTCCGAACGGCTGCTGTGAGGGGACGGTGGGGCAGCTCCTGAGTCGGGCGGTGGGAAGGGGAGGCAGGAAGACAGAGAGTGGAGACAGGGGGAGAGAGACAGAGACGAGGGAGATCTCTGGGGCCAAGCAAAGGGCAAAGCTGAGATAGAAAAGTGACAGAGGCACAAAGGGAGGGGCAGAGCAGGGGGAGGGGGCAGAGGCTGCAGCTCAGTGTCCCAGCAGGCCACCCTCAGGCAGGACGGCCAAAGCTACCCGCTCCGGCCTGAGGCCCTGCCCGGACTTGGGCTAGACTCTCGCAAGCTCCCACATGGCTGTGGCTGCCTCCAAGAAGGAGTCTCCCGGCAGATGGGGCCTGGGAGAGGAGCAGACAGGTACGGCTTTCCTGGAGGTAAGATCTCAGCCCTTGGGGAGCAAAGTTGCACCATGAAAAGAGCCAGAGCAACCCAGGCCCAGCCCCATGGGAACCTGCTGGCGAACCCAGAATCCTAGAAACATGGGGGTCAGCAGAGCCAGGACAGGACGACGGAGGTGACAGGAAGAAGAGAGAAGCAACCTCAGGGTTTGTCAGCAGAGGTCCCAGTGGTGTTGTCGAGAGCGTTTCTGCGGGACAGTGGGGCCTGACACCACCCACAGAAAGAGGGAATGGCAGGCGGGAAGTGGGGGCAGAGCCTACACACTCGTTGAAAATTTCCCCCGGGGGAGGTGGGGGGCACAGAGGATGGGGCGGTGTGAGGGCAGAAGCTGGGTGGATGCGGTGGGGCAGGGGTGCTTTGAGAGGGAAGATCTTTTCCATCCAGATGGGAAAGGGAACGAGGGGGTAGAGAGGGTCCCTGAAGCGGGGGAGGGGTGTGTGAGCCGGCCCTGGCCCCGCCCCCCAGGCGCCGGCCGCCAGCTGCAGTGCCGCGTGTGCGGGGACAGCAGCAGCGGGAAGCACTACGGCATCTACGCCTGCAACGGCTGCAGCGGCTTCTTCAAGAGGAGCGTGAGGCGGAGGCTTATCTACAGGTGGGGGGCTGGGCTCCGCCAGGAGAGCCCCGGGAGGGTAGGGGTGTTCAGGGAAGAAGTGGCCAGAGTGAACACGGGCAAAGTCCACCGTCCCGCGCCCGAGCAGGACACTGACGCCTGGGGCTCCCCTCTGCCTCCAGGTGCCAGGTGGGGGCAGGGATGTGCCCAGTAGACAAGGCCCACCGGAACCAGTGCCAGGCCTGCCGGCTGAGGAAGTGTTTGCAGGCGGGCATGAACCAGGACGGTGAGTCAGGGTAGCCGACCCGACAAGGGATGGCGGAGAGATGGGGGCACATGGCTGGTGGGGTGTCCTGACCCGTCCTGCCTCCCCCCAGCTGTGCAGAATGAGCGTCAGCCACGAAGCACAGCCCAGGTCCGCCCTGACGGCACGGAATCTAACGGGGAGTCCCAGGCGGAGACTCTGGTGGCTCCCCTGGCCGCGGCAGGGCCCAGCCCACGAGGCCCCACCCCTGTGTCTGCAGCCAGAACCCCGGGGCCTGGGACCCTCACACCCCCGGGCCACCACCACTTCATGGCAAGCCTGATAAAGGCTGAAACCTGCGCTAAGCTGGAGCCAGAGGACGGTGAGTGTGAGAAGGGCCTCTATCAACCACACTCAGGCCCCTGCACACCGCCCCGCCCCCCGCCTCCTGCCGAGGAGCAGCGGCTTACATCACAGCCTCCTCCTCCAGCAGCTGATGAGAACATCGACGTCACCAGCAATGACCCTGAGTGCCCCTCGTCCCCATATTCATCCCCCTCCCCCCGTGGTCTGGACAGCGTTCAGGAGACGTCAGCTCGCCTGCTTTTCCTCGCTGTCAAGTGGGCCAAGAGCCTGCCTGTGTTCTCCAAGCTGCCCTTCCGGGATCAGGTACGCCCCTCAGGCGAGCCCCCGGAGCCAGCCGGGCTGGGGACGCCCACGTCCTTGTGCAAGTGATGGTTGCAGGTTCGCAGGGCCTGGGGAATGGGGATGGCACGCGCCTCGGAGTCAGTTATGTCAGGGCTGTGTGTCCCAGCGGTGTGACTATTAGCGGTCACATCTCTGGGCAGAGGCTATGGCTGGGGCAAGAACCTAGGGGCCATTGATGGCTAGGGACACACAGGGCCCAGGGATCTGAAGGCAGTGCCTATGGTCCCCAGGTCTCCTCTCCTCCTAGACAAAACTTCGTGTCCTGCGGACACTGTATGTGACAGGGTGGTCAGCAAACCCTGAGAAGCAAAGTGGGCAGCCGTGGGCTCCCCTGGAGCATAAAGACCTCTGACTTCAGGACCTGAGTTTCAGCCCAACATTCTCAACTCTGGGATGCTCCCTGGGCTTCCCACGGGCAAGCTGACCAACCTGTCACGACAAACCTGGAGAGAGGCATGCGGAGGGTCTGAGCCCTGCGCCAGGGTTTGGATCAGAAGTCAGGCCATATCTCCCAAGTACACTCAATGTGATGTGCTCATCGGGAGTGTCCCCAAGGCCGCCCACCTTCCCCCCACCCCAGCTCTAGACTTCCCTAAATGTTCCAGGTGAGGCTCTGAATGGAACCCAGGCCACCGGGCCAGATGGTACCAAATCCCAGAGCTCTGGGACTCTGGCTAACATCAGGAGCCCAGGAGAACATTCTGGGCACCCTGGACCAGCCCTTCCTGTCCTAGGGCAGCTGAGAAGGTGGCAGAAGTTGCAGGCTGAGCCTGAGATGCTGTGGATCAGCATTGCCCTCCCTCCCACCCTCTCTGAGCACAGGTGATCCTGCTGGAGGAAGCCTGGAGTGAACTCTTCCTCCTCGGAGCCATACAGTGGTCTCTGCCTCTGGACAGCTGCCCGCTGCTGGCCCCACCTGAGGCTGTGGCTGCCGGCAGCTCCCAGAGCCGGCTGGCGCTGGCCAGTGGGGAGATGCGCTTCCTGCAGGAAACCATCTCACGGTTCCGGGCATTGGCGGTGGACCCCACGGAGTTTGCGTGCATGAAGGCCCTGGTCCTCTTCAAACCAGGTAGCTGAGTCTTTGCCCCACCAGAGAAGTAGTTGAGAATGAACGATGGGAATTCCAGTGACTTCCTTCTGCCTCCCACTTGTCCTCCAACAACCCACACAGACCCCGAGGTGTGCAGACTTCTTCCCTCAGGGGCAGGAGGAGAGAAGCGCAGGCCTGAGTGCACCCCTCCCGAGGGCCCGGCTGACTGTGAGGGGCAGGGCAGGCCAGGACTGGAGCTCACCGTGGCTGCTCCTCTCCAGAAACACAGGGCCTGAAGGATCCTGAGCACGTGGAGGCCTTGCAGGACCAGTCCCAGGTGATGCTGAGCCAGCACTGTGAGGCCCATCACCCTCGCCAACCCGTGAGGTGACTCAAGCACCTGCCTTCCTGTCTACCTGTCCCTTCACCTCTTTACTCACTGCCCACCTGTCGGGCTCCATCTCATCAGGGCTGCACTAATTAGACAGGACAAGGGTCCCAGTTCAACCAGCATCTACTGCGCACCAGGCACAGTGCAAGGCCCCATGACTGGGGACCAAAATGTGCATAAGACAAAGGTGCTGCCTTCCAGGGATGTTGGGCACAGTGACCACACTGAAGGTGAGGACCGACCTGGTCAGGTGTTGGGGGGTGAATGGATCCGAAGGAGGCAGAGACCCATGGCGGGCAAGGGTGTGCAGCAGAACTGCCTGGGACTTTGTGGAGGCAGGGCTGGGCTTGCAAGGTGGGCTAGGGTCTCAAAGAAGAGAAATCGTTTACCGAGGGAGGGAGAGAGAGAGGCAAACTAGGATGTGTTCTTAGGACAAAAGCCCAGCTTGGAAGGTGCAACGGGTTGCTCCCTGGGAGGAGTTGGGAGATCAGGCTAAAACAGCACTGTGGGGCAGCCTGTCTAGGACTTTGGAGGCCAGCCAGGCCACATCTGATTGGCAAGCAGAGGGGAGCCTGCAGGGGTGACCTCGAAGAGCTGGACTTCATGCGAACGGCACGGCAGCGTGTGCAGAGGACACTGCCATCCCCCAGGGGAGCCCATGGAGTCTGCTCCCCAGGGGTGGAAAGGAAACAGCAGGAGCAGTGTCTCCAGAGGCAAGAATGAGTCAGACTTGGCACTTGGGCATTGTAAGGGAAGAGGAGCTATGGGAGAAGAGGTGGTCATGAAAAAGAAAGGGAAGTCAGGAGGCAAAGGTAGTTCTGAGGTAGCATGACCAGCTCTGATGGAGGGACACCCCCTGCGGTCCCATGTACAGGGCTGTGCATGGGTGCAGCCTGGCCCCGGCTGGTGTGGGCACAGTGCCTGCAGGCCGAGAGTGTGGCTGGGCAAGCGTGGGGGGCAGGAGCGCTGGGCCTGCCCAGCCTGGCCCGGCACCACCAGCAGATATACAACAGAACTCCACGAGGCTGGAGCGCTTGGCATCCAGGAATCTACTGGCCATTTCAGACCATATTACCTGATTCTCCTGGGACTCCCGACAGTTCTCTCAAAGATGTAAGCTAACATGGACACCCTTGAATCACCTCCACTCTAACAAATGGTCAGAAAAAGAGGTAATTTCCGTTGCAGAAGAATCAGAGTGTACTAGGCATATGCCACGTTGCACAGAAGGCTTTCTGCTGCGTATGCGCACAGGAGGAGCACTGTTTCCAGACTCGACAGAGCAGCCTGAGAATGACCGTCACAGACAGCAGACAGCAGCATTCCTCCTCGGCCAAGTTTCTGTTGGGATCAGCTTCCAGAAAAGTCTGGGCATATTGGCTTTCTATCAAATTTCAAAGTTCTGGTTGTGATTTCCGGCGTCATTTCTATGGCAGTTCAGTACCAACTGCAGGCAGAACTGAGTGTTGAGACACTGTGGTCTCTCCAAGCTGCGGCACTGTGACCTCACTGCAGTTTTTTAAAGCAATACCCGGGAAGAAAGACAATTTCCACCATCGCCCAAATTACACACTGACAGTGAAGCTAAGTTTCAAGCCATACCTGCCCTTACTTTGTGTAATTTACTCTGATATTTCTGCGTGTGTTTTTAAAGACTGGTTGTGACCCACCAGTAGATTAATTCCTGCAGTGTGAAAACAGTTCCTCTACTTGGCCTCACAGTTACTTCTCCCTGACCCTCCTTAGCTCGGAAACACAGAAGCAGGGAAGGTACAGGGTGGGGGATGACCACTCAGTGCCACTCTGTCGCACTCACAGGAGAAAGCAAACTTGGATGACTGGGAGGCGGGAAGCCTTCCCACAGACCTCACAGAGAAGCTGAGCACACAGTGGCCTCACTTGGAAGTGGCCTTCTCATCACAGGCACAGACTCGGGCTATCAGGCCTCCTACCCAGGAGAGTCCAGCCCATGCCCCCATCTGTCCCTTGGGGCTTTCGCCCCCCACCGTCTCTGTACGTTTCTCCCCTGCTTGGCAAAAGGCTCTTATTTAAAACTACAATTACTTGTTTTCTGGATGAGCATCTCAGCCACAAATGATTCTTTCAGAACATTTTCACTAATGGCCTCTCTATCATCCAAGGTGGCTTACAGAGGGGAACTTACATTCTTTTCAAATATATATATAGTATTAATTATCATAATTGCACGTATTATTAACATAAAGAATGTATCACTTTATAATCTTTACACATGACAAACTATTTTCATCACACTCCTCAACTAAATATATCGGAGGGGGCCACATGGACCAGGGGCAGGGCAAGGTAACCCCTCCAGTGAAGGGGGCCGTTCCCCAGAATTCCCCTTACCCACCGGGGCCTCCCACCCCCTCCCACCCCCCTCCACTCCTCCCCCTGCATCCCTAGGAGGCACTTGTGCTCAGAGGCCCATGACAGAACTGACGGCACCCTCTCTCCTGTTCAGGTTTGGGAAACTGCTCCTGCTCCTCCCGTCTCTGAGGTTTGTCACTTCCGAGCGCGTGGAGCTCCTCTTTTTCCGCAAGACCATAGGGAACACTCCGATGGAGAAGCTCCTCTGTGACATGTTCAAAAACTGATGCAGGTGGAACCAGATGGGCACAGCCACTTTGGAAAACAATCGACTGAAGCGAAACATTCGCCTGCCCTGTGACTCAGTAGTCCCACCTGCGCCTAGCAGAACTGTCCACCGAAATATAAGAATATTTATGGCAGCTTTATCCATAATAGCCCAAACTGTACATTGCCAGTAGAATGGATTAACAAATTGTAGTATAGTCATGTAATGGAAAACAGAAATAAAAAAGAATAGGCCACCAATACATGTGAAAACATGGATGAATTTCACAGACATGAAAGTCGAACAGAAGCAGCCAGGAAGAAGCCCGGCTTCGGTTCCAGGACGGGTGGGCCTGACGAGCAGCGTGCACGGCTGGCATGGCGGTGCCCTGCACCGGCAGTGGGGCCTTCTGCTGTGTTACAGGTGGTCTTTATTTTGATCTGGGAGGTGGTTTCACAGATTGATTCATTTGTAAAAATTATTTAAGCTGTGCCTTTGAGATCTGTGCACATCACTGTTTTATGTTGGACCTCAACGAAAAAGTAAAAACACAAAAACAGGAGAGGAATGTGGCCAGAGCTCTCCCTTTGAGGCTTTCACACAGGAAGGTTCGCACTCCAAGTCAGCGTCCGGTCCGGGTGTGACCAGGTCAAGGCCCGAGAAAAATCTCCCACTGGAGCTGGGCGGAACAGCCCAGCTTCCCTCCAGATGGCCTCCCACCCTCCCACGGCTTCCCTTTCTCCTCCTTAGCCTTCCTCACTGCTCATGAACAAAGGTGAGAACAAAGGTGAGAACACAAGCCAGGTATAGGCACTTTTCATGAAAGGGAATCGCCATCATTTCGTAATTCCTTATGAAGGATGAAGCTCAGATGAATCTCATACCCTTTCCAAGGACAGACCCAGAAGATTTGGAAATAATAGTAATAAAAAGTTAACATATATCAGGCACTTTATATATCAGGCAATGAAGGGAGCGCTGATTGTGCATTGTTATCTAATCCTCACATCAACTCTGGGGGAGGGACCAATCATCCTCATTTGTAAATGAAAAAACTGGGAGCTTAGCGAGGATTCCAACCAGGCCATCACACTACTTAACTAGTGCAACGCTGGCACGGACCCCTCCCCACGCCCCCTCTATCCCCAGAATCCACCGAACAGTCTGTTGCATTTTCTGTCTTCAAAGAAATGTTTGAAAGCAAGAAGGAAAAGGTCATGTGATAAGTCTGTGAAATCCTTGGGGATCCCCTGCCCTGTAGCCTGCGTACAGAGTCTCCTAGCTGACAAGAGATATCCTGCCCTGACAGAGGAAGACAGAACACTCTGCTTTGGAAATGACAATAGCTAGGCTGTTGCCCAGAGAGGAAAGAGTATGGCAAATCCTGTCCAGCTTAAGCCCTTCCCAACTAAGCACTCAAACTACTTGAGACTCTTCTAAAAGCATGAGACTTGCCTCAGTTACTTGGGCCATTTGATGTCTATACCATTACACTAAAGACCTATTTATAGAAAGCCTGAGCAAAGGAACTTCAGCAAGAAGCATGGCTGAAATGTGAACAGACAGGCACATGTATCCTACAGCCTTGCTTCTGAGAACATAAGACTGCAAAAGCCACCTGCTGAAATTCACAAAGAGTGTCTGGGGTGTGCGGCGCAGCAGTGAAAGAGATTGTCTCGGATCTCCAGGAGGAAGTCTGGGAGAGTTAGAGGAGGTGTATAGGCTGGATTGTCTGTGGTCAGCCTGGTGTCAATACCACCCTCTTCTACAGTCTTGTGTTCGCTGCAGAGATTCCAAGAACTACATTTCCCAGGATCCCTTCCCCCATGACTGCTGAGGGAAGGAGGGAAGCACAGGAGGCCTGGAAGGTCAGTAGATGCCTTTATTCTTCCGAGGTAGTTGCAGCTGGATGCGTGGGGGAAGACAGACTACCCGGGGCCCTTCTCAGGAACTGCAGTGGCCTCCAGGCAAGCTTCTGAGGACTTTGGAACTTTGGGCTGAGATCTGTGTTGTCATTCTCGACCTGTGTGCTTTCTCAGTTCTTCCAGTGTTTAAGTCCCCAATTCCTGTGTTAAGTCCTTCTCACTTGGACTATATGGAGAGGCTTATGTTTTCCCAATACAATGCAGCTCTCAGTGGATCCCAGGATTTATTCAACATTTCACTGTAGACTGGCCCCACTGACATTCGGATGGGTAGCAGTGGGCCCTTGCTAGGAGAGAGGGTACTATGAAAACTTTTTTGTTTTTTCCCTCAATGCCAGAAATGCCTTTGGTTATGAAGTACACAAGAGGGAGTTTTGGGGGCCCTATCTGGGCCTTTCCTTTCAGCTGCAGGTTTCAGATTCATGACATGCTTCTCCTCCACCCTTAAAGGAGTATTTAAAGGTCAAAGGGGCGGAGAAAGACTCAAAGATGTCAGGAAACACCCTTCAAACTAATAAACATAGCCTGAGAGTAGAACCCAGATCTTAGGCATGGCTAGTCTCCAGGGGGTAGGCATCATCCCCCCACTAGAACTCAAACACAACAGGGGCAGGGAGTTTTGTCTTGTCACCAACGTACCCCAAGCAATACCTGTGGGTGCTCAGTAGTATTTCTTTTTTTTTTTAATGTATTTTATTGATTATGCTATTACAGTTGTCCCATTTCCCCCCTTCTCTCCCCTCCACCCTGTACCCCCTCTCCCACCCACGTTCCCCCCTTTAGTTCATGTCCATGTGTCATTCTTATGAGTTCTTTAGCTTCTACATTTCCCATACTATTCTTGCCCTCCCCCTATCTATTATCAACCTACATTCTATGCTACTTATTCTCTATACCTTTTCCCCCCTCTCCTCCTCCCACCCCCCCCCCTGCTGCTAGCCCTCCGTGTGCCCTCCATTTCTGTGGTTCTGTTCCTGTTCTAGTTGTTTACTTAGTTTCTTTTGGTTTTGCTTTAGGTGTGGTTGTTAATAATTGTGAGTTTGCTGTCCTTTTACTATACATGTCTTTTCTTTATCTTCTTTTCTTAGATAAGTCCCTTTAGCATTTCATAAAATAAGGGCTTGGTGATGATGAACTCCTTTAACTTGAACTTATCTGAAAAGCACTTTATCTGCCCTTCCATTCTAAATGAGAGCTTTGCTGGATAGAGCAATCTGTGATGTAGGTCCTTGTCTTTCATGACTTGGAATATTTCTTTCCAGCCCGTTCTTGCCTGTAAGGTCTCTTTGGAGAAATCAGCTGACAGTGTGATGGGAACTCCTTTGTAGGTTACTGTCCCCTTATCGCTTGCTGCTTCTAGGATTCTCTCCTTTGTTTTTACCTTGGCTAATGTAATTATGATGTGCCTTGGTGTGTTTCTTCTTGGGTCTAACTTCTTGGGGGCTCTCTGAGCTTCTTGGATTTCTTGGAAGACTGTTCCCTTTGCCAGATTGGGGAAGTTCTCCTTTATTATTTGTTCCAATACGTGCTCCATCTGTTGCTTTTCTCCTTCCTGTGCTGGTACCCCTATAATTCGGATGTTGGAACGTTTAAAGGTGTCCTGGATGCTCTTAAGCTTTTCCTTGATTTTTTGAATTCTTATTCCATCATGCTTTCCTGCTTGGTTGATTTTATCTTCCTTCTGGTCCACTGTATTGTTTTGAGACTCAGATTCCTTCCTTTCACTATTGGCTCTCCTCCGTGTATCTTCCTGCATCTCTTTTATGGTAACCTGCATCCTTTCATCTAAATTGCGCCCAAAATCAACCAATTCCGTGAGCTTTCTGATCACCAGTGTTTTGAACTGTGCATCTGATAGATTGGCTATTTCTTGGTCGCTCAAAAGGATGAGTCCTGGGAGACTGATCTGTTCTGTTGGATACATGTCTTATGTCTTTCCCTGTCTCTGGTCACTCCTGTTACGGTGGGGGGCGGAGCCTTAGGTGTTCACTGGGGCTGGGCACCCTGGTCGCTAGATTGTGACGTTATATGTGTGGGCAGGAGTGGGAGCGGGAGGGGACAATGGCGATAGTTTCATTCTCGCTGGCTCAGGCCCTTCCTTGGGATCCTGGGCTGCGAGCTCTGCCCTGGTCCACAATCGCTGCCCCACAGGGTCCGCCAGCCGCAGCTTGCGTACTCAGGGATCACCGCTGCGTTCTTGCGCCCCGGATGGCTGTCGTGCCAATTTCGGGCCAAATTTTCCCTGACCTCTGCGCTAGCCCCGCGCCCGCCCGGCTCATCATCTCCTACCGGTCTGGATGTACGGGTTTACTTCAACTTCTTGGCTGTGCGACTTCCATTCAGATAAATCCTGTCAGTTCTGAGTGATATTCTGTCTGTAAATTATTGTTGTTTTAATCTTGGTTGTGCGGGGAGGTATGGTGCGTCCACCTATTCCTCCATCTTGCCGGAAGTCCCGTATTTCTAAAATAAATGCATAAATGGCAACACAGAATTGGGAAGTGACACACTTCTCGACTAAGCATGTGAGACGCCTACAAGACTGAACAGATGCCACATGTGCCTTACCTCCTCTGGTAGTCATGGCCCTGGTCTAAGGCACTGACCAGGTACTGCTGCCCAATATATAAGAACAACTTTTAAAACACCAAAGCTCTGGTCTCAGTTTTTTTTTTCCCCCTGGTTTCTTTGTAACTTGTATCTCCTTACACCTTCATGCATTTGTCGTCATAGAAGGGTTTGTTGTAAATTCAGGAATCACAAAAACAAGCTTTAAAAATGGCATTTCTAGATCTTGACAAATTAAGGCAATTTAAAGAAACAATTCACTATATGCTTATCACTTTGATGTAATTTAATGCAACAATGTAAATTATAACTTTAAGAAGGATAATCTTAAGAGTCTAAAAACTGAATGAATATACTGTTAGGGCAAAATGCACAATTTCTTTTTCATTCCACCTTAGACTTGGTTTGGCACTTGGGAGCCCCTGGCCTCACAAAGGGCCGACTCACGGCCGACACCCAAGCGCTGGCACCTTTCGTTGAGTGCTGGCAATCTAAGGGTCTGCGTGGCCGTGAGTCATGGTTCTCAACCTGAGAAGCTTACTTAAAGTTTTTTGATGCCATGAATACTGGGAGTTGTTGAGAACACAAGACATCTAACCAGATTCAAGGGGGAGGAATACATTTCCAGTAGACCTGAGTCAGTAGGAGTTATCCGGAGGAGTAAACCTGGGGAGGGGAACTCGTTTCCACCTGGGAACACCAACCTCCAGAAAGGGCAAATGACTTTCCCGAAGTCACGGGACGTAGCGGCAGAACAAAAACGGCAAATGAGGCTTGAATTCCTGGGCCCTCTATTAGCAGATATTGCTACTTCCTCATGGCCTTTTTGGTTAGGATCCTAATGTAGATTTATTGCCTTCCCTGCCCAGCTAGCTCTAAATGCATTCAATAAAGCCCTGACAGCTAACAGCTAGCATCTATTACAGAAAACTGACAGCTTAAATCTCACCTTTACTTGAATTCAATTGAGTTCCAATAACTACTACTTCTGCACTTTGCCAATTGTGGGCTCAGTCCTTTCCTTTAAAAAAATCAGTTTAACTAATACACATCATTGTTGTTCCTTGGGATCAGGCTGGAGCGCACCGGGGTGGGAGTCAGGCTAGTCAGAAAATAAACCACACGTACTGCGGCTTCTGGAAGCTTTTGTTCTTTAATGAGCCATTGGAGCGATTTGTTCAAGCTGCTCGTGTAGCCATACAGTGCATATTGTGAGTGATACAAATAGAATTTTATACAGATGATGTCTTGCTTCCCGACAGCTCCCCAAAAAACCCAAAAAGAAATTACAAAGTGCCTGTTGATTGTTATCAGGATGTAGTCAGTTCCACGGGTGAGATAAATCATTCTTCTTTGAGAATTATTCTGTTTAACAGTAAAATATTATATTTCACAGGATATGTCCTTTTACAATACATAGTCATTTAAAAATTTACACTTAGCATACTTATAAATTATTTAAATCCATTAAAATAATATAACACTAATCTGTAGTATACACCTTTGCCCTAGTAAATACGTGTTCAAAAGGTGCAACTTTAACATGGCCCAAGAGGGCTGATAAACAGGTATGAAGTGTGGATGGACAGCAAGGTGACAGGTCCCTCGGTGGGAATTTTTTCTAAAACAGTTTCAACCAAGAGACCAACAAAACCGAGTAGCTCATGTCCACACTCATCATTCCGTTGTTACCATTTCATACCAAATCAAATGTGGGAGTTGTTCCAGAGAAAAGTGGTTAAAAGTATTTTAGGGGCATAGAAAGAGGAGTCCCATAAATACCAAGAAATTTTACCACCAAGGCTAGCATGGTGTTGGGGGACGACAGTGTGGGAGAGCTGTCACAAAATTATGGGTGACATAACACATTTGTCAACACAGAAGGATGCATGCCCCACATCCAGCTCCCCATCAAGGGAAAAAACGGAGAGGGGAGACAAGGGTGAGTAAAGCAGTCTGGACAGTGTTTCTTTTTAAAATTAAAACTCTTGTAGCTTTGAACACGTACTGAGAACACTTTCTTCTCTCTAGTTCACTAAAGTGAACTAGAAACGTATACATCCATTAGTTTGAGTTTAAAAAAACAAGACCCACAGGCACTGAAGTGGGCCTGTGGCACCTTGTTGGATCTCCTCTTTTCAGTAAGTTTCTGGGATCCTCCGTCTTTGACAGTGAAAACCACCCCATCATGATAGAACAGAGAAGTCTCCGCTAGCCTCCCAGCAGAGGTTAGTGAAGAACTGTGGCTGGTTTCTGAAGAGTGAGAAGGCGGCGGGGCTCTGGCATCCCATTTCCTGACCTCAGGTCCCACGGCCTCTGCGAGGCTCCTGCAGGAAAGGTGGTATCTCCCTTTGCACTTTCAGAAGCCCAGAGTGGCAAAAACATTAAACTGGCAGGAAGTATAAAGTACATTACAAACTAAGCATGTCTCACCTTCCTGAACCCTCCCTGTATCTGCCGTTAAAGTAATTTGCTTCACTTTATGATACCCATTGTGATCCCAAATTAGACTTCTCTGCTGCCATCACATTTTTTCATGATAAGGGACGTGTTGGCTTTAAATCAGGAGGACTGAAATCCAGGCTTTGTCTGGGACTGGGAAGGTGTGCTAGGAACAGAATGTACTTGATTTTGGAAGATGAGCTCCGAGTGTAGGGCTACCCAGCTGCTGCTGTACAGGCATTTTTCTGAGATCAAAGAAAACAGGCAAAGGAGAAGCAGTGAAAATACAGATGCAACACACACTGAGGTTAAAGAGCTCAGTCGTGAATGACTGCAATGCATGCAGCCTCCTCACTTTGTGGCGACATAGCCTGAGCCAGGAAGAGAATCAGTGAAGATCAAATGGCAGGATATACAGCACTTGACTCTGACAGTTTTTAAGAGTTACGGTGTCATCTTTCTCAGGTCAACAGTACCTATTATCCCACGAAAAATGGCTTTCCTTCCTTCAAAGGGAGAGTCCCACACTTGTCTCCATCCCTGCCACTGCATGTATCTCTCCTCCCCATCACCCTCCCTTCTGGCAGTTTGTTAAATGACTAGAAATCCACAAACCTAGTAACTGAAAAACAAGTATTTTTTATTTAATTTTATCCAAAATCAGGTTTCAGGTCCCTGAGAAAAATTATAAAGTCTCTTAACATCCATTGCCGAGTTCTATAAAGTGTCCTATACGAGTAGTTTTTTCAACTGCCAAAAACTTATTTTGCAAACAGTAACAACAGAAGAACCCACAAAGATTTAGAAGGAGAACATATGCCAAGACGTATTCTCTAGGCCATTCCTCTGGGCCAAAGGAAATTAGCCAACAGAAGTGACCCCCCTTCTGTGCGGCACTGACCGGTGCCCGGCAGGGGAAGGGCAGCCCTCGCACAGCAGAGCACTGCTCCCCCAGGGACTCTGAGCAGACGTGCGGATGGCAGGGCCTGCGGCAGCAGCAATCCCACTTTGACACAACCACGCTGAGGGACTGGGTTTTCCTCCAGATTTTCCAAAATTCAGACTTTTAAAGGCTTTACATTTATACTCCTTAGGACGGCATGCAAGGTGGCAGATGTTTGCAGGATTTAAAATGAAATATTTACTCACTATCATCATTCTGGAGACTTGTAAAGATTCCTTTCACCAGCACATTTCAGAACCCAAACCCAGGACAGGTAAGACTCCTTCCTGCTACCTTCAGCTGCCACTCAGAACGAGTCTTAGCTCTGGGGCTCGACAACAACCACTTAAGCAGTGGCATGAGGTTCAGTGTTGTGTAACAGGAGAGACTCTGCCTTGACACAAATCTTAGTACTTCCATAATTTCCAATCAAAGAAGCATGAATAACCAAAATTCAGGTCACAGATGGTAAAGGCTCTTTTTTTAGAACAGTGCATGTGGTAGTTAGACAAGATGCATTTAGTAACTTTAAAAATAAACATTTTCACATACATATGTCAAGAAAGAGTATCATGTTTCATTTTCCATATATTATAAATAGCAAAAACAGATTTCTAATCCCCCCGGACACTAAGAAGCTTAAAATGCTATTATAGCTCAGGCATATGGAGACGCCTAGTGGTGAAAGATAGTCTGACTTATCCCTCAACCCAGGGATGCGTGGCTCTCACCTCCCTGTCCCATGATCCCTAATCTGGGGGAAGAAATTCTGTGGGAGGGGGGAAGCATAAGGTTAAAAAGAAATATGCATACTATACATAAATATTTACATTAAACTTCAGTAACCAGAATATTAACAAAAGTAGCTTCAAGTAGTCCTTGATATTTAAAAAAATCTAATACTGATGGTCTGAGGAAAAGACGACAAAAGTAGATGGATCATCTGAAAACCTTTTCTCTTATTTTTTGGCAGCTTTCTGTAACATGTGTTCATGCAGTATTGTGTGTGAGTGCTTTGGGAGAAGTGATTAAATGGTCAATTCATTTGTCTTGAGTTTGTGGTTGAAATCTACCAGCAGCTGAATATGTGATCTTCAGTTTAATCTATGCAAAGAGAAAAACCTGGTTGGATTAGGGTGAAACCCTCATGTTTAGGGATCACCCTATCTCTGGGACATTTGAAAAAAAATAGAGAAACCCGATCCTGGGACCAGGGAGTACGAGAACAGTGTGGCTACTGAAACTTCAGCCCATGCGATATATTTGGCAGAAACTAATGAGGAGTTAAACCAGCATCGATTATTATTTCATCAAACATCACCAAAGAACAAAACATGTACTCTCTTCTTCATTGTGTAACCAGAGGTCTGAGAACGAGCTCTGATGGAAACAACTGCTTTTTCACTTTCCCCAGAATAGAACATGAAGTATTTTTCAAACATCTTAAAATAGAAGGCTCAGGCTCTTTGTTTATAAATTCTTGGAAAAGAAGTATATTCTACCCCAGCTCCTCACTATCCCAAAATAAACCCAACGGCTTTTGCTTTCATGGTTAAGAAAGATTTATATGTTTTCTTCATATGTCAGAAATCAGTGGGTCCTTCAGGCCCACAATGTGTGCCCCAGGTCCACACCCACCTCTGGAAAGGGAAAAGAGGACAGAAGAGAGGTGACTACACAGGCCTCCACAACTGACCCAAATCCTGGGGCCCGAGCCCAGGGGCTTCGTTAATGGGATCTCTAGTCTAACACAGCAGCCAAGGCACAGCCGGCTCCATCCCCAGCAGGCTTCAGAGAGGCCTTCCCACTTCCCCATGAGGCCCAGGGACTCAGCACGCAAGGTCTCACTGGTATGCTTGGGCAAGAGGCAGGACCTCATTTAGGGTGGGTATCGTGGATGAGGTGATGAGAGAGAAGGGACCCCAAAGATGAGATGTGTTTACCGCTCTGCGGCCGTGAAGGGACACACGTCTGCCAGTTCAGACCATAAACTCATTACTTCCAAAGAGAGCTGGCTGTTGGGCGGAGCTGCAGTCCAGGTCCACAGTTTTCCTGCGGCCAGACACCGCTGTCCCCTCTGGGGTCTCTTTGGTTTTCTGAGGTGAGCTTTTCACATTCTTTAATTTTTGTTTGCCCTTTTCAGGGTTGAAGGTTCCTCTGCTGATGAACTGAGGCTTGTCTTCCAGGGTTTTGGTCTGGCCCAATGGCCCCTCCACTCCCACGGCCTCCCCAGCAGAGGCAGCTCGGTAGAATGGAGATTTGGAATAAATCTGGAATCGTTTTCTGGTCCCATGAGAAGATGCAGTGTTAGATGAACAAAAAGCCAAGACCGAAGAGTCCACTGAATCCAAAGAGTCGTGCTGCTTTTTTAGCTGCTTTCTCAACTTGCCAGAAGGTTCAGACTTGCCAGCTGTCTTCAGGGTGCTAAGCGTTAAGCTTCTCTCTAACACAGAAAGGAGACCAAAGCTGTAAATGACAGTTCCATCTGAAGCAAATCGCCATGTAATGAATAAGTGTCACCATTTACATGTGAAATTAGGTGGAACAGGATTTGGAGGTGCACACTCACAGCTTGAAAAGAGCTTACCATTCATTTCCACGTACACCATTTCAGAGCCAGCCCCACGGGGGCCTGGAGTTTGGCTGTGCCGCTAGGAGAGGCCTGCAGCTGTCCCTGTCACGTGAAAAACTACCCACCCTTAGACAATGGGTCATGGGCCAATAAGACAGTATTACTGTGATTATTGGCTTTTCTCTGTGGTAAAGTGAATGCATGAGAAAACATTAAGTTACTAAAAAGCCACATTAGATTGAAGTTTTCATCTAATAAACAATATACATGAAAGATTCACAAGATCAGTATATTTGAACTCCTTAGGACTCTGTCACCTTTTCATGTAAGGTCAAGGCATTCTGGGAGGGGACTTTGTCTTAGTTTGGGAATCCTTAATCCTCCTTTGTACTAACATGTTCATTTACCTGATTTCTCAGAGACTGCACCTTCAGACTCAATGTTCAAGTTTTCTGAGCTATCGGCAGTCCCAATGGAGGCCTCAGACTCAAGGGTTTCATCATCGGAAGCACGGGGTTCCAGTACAAGCATTTCAAATGTTAGCTCCTCCCTGTAAGATACAATCAAGAAATCCATTAGTATTCGATAAGTGGAAGGAAGACAAGAGGAGAAAAGACCTTCCATAAAAGTCAGGAACTGAAGTAGCAAAAAGTCACATTTCTTAGTAGTCCCATGCGGGGTGGCGATAAGGATCTGCACACTATAGTGATGGTGAAGGCTGAAACTGCATGTACTAAAGCAGGGTGTGAAACTCATTTCCACTGGGGGCCATATCAGCCTCGCGGCTGCCCTCAAACGGCCAAATGTAATGTTAGGACTGTATAAATGTAACTGCTCCTTAACAGTTAAGCCAGAGCTCAGTGCTGCTGCCAGGTAGATAGATAAACAAGGTGCCAGGCTGGATAAAAACCAAGGTGAAGGGCCGGATTCGGCCCATGGGCCTTGTGTTTGCCGCCTGTGTACTAAAGACAAAATGACAACAAAGGCTGGGCCTACAAAAGGGCCAAGGGTGAGGGAGGGAAAGATGCCACAGCTGTAAGATATTTTGGTAAAATGAACTCTGGGCTAATAATCAGATTGGTGTTCTAAACCCACTCTCAACTCATTCATAACATCTCTAAAAGGAACTTTCCTCTCTCCAGACCTCAGCTTCCTCATCCACAAAACAAAGAGATTAACCTAATCTCTAAGATTCCTTCCACTCTTCAACTATGCTCCATGAAACTTGACTAACTGGCTACAGACTATACTCTCTGCCTTGACCACAGAGAGACCTCTGGATGAAGTAACACAGATTGATCTCTTCTGTCCTTGAAACTCATGCCATCTCCACTTACTGTATGTTCTACTCCTCTGCCTCAATCACCCAGCTACTTCGGTCATGCCCCTCACTCCCTTCAGTCTTTGGTACTTGATTCCTATTTTGCTTTTCTCACTAGTGCCTGACATCACCCTAATCTATTTCAATCAGTATCTTTTTAACAGCTCACCTCAATACCCTAACACCAAAGTTCCTTTATGTTTGCAACTTCTAATAACCCTTCCTCCACTTTATATAGGCAACTTTCTCCAATGAGCAGATCCTAGGGTACGTACATCATTACCTGGAAATATACCTGCTCTGAATCCAATACTGTACTTGCCCACAACTTCCTTGTCCAATTCTTCCTTCCTTTGTTGTCTCCTCCCTTTCAAACTCCTTTAAGCTTCACTTCTGCAACCTAGCTTGGACAATCTTTTCAAAGATAATCTCATGAGAAGCTCATTGCTGCAATGACCACTGTCATAAGCCATGTGTATTCACAACTCTGAGGCTGTTCATGCCTTTTCCTTTCTTTAGAAAGATTTCCCCCTTCAAATTCATCCTTCAATACCTCCAATACCATTTTCATCAGAGCAGAGTTAGGTCCTCTTTTTAGGTAGTTCTTCTATCAAATAATGCAGTCAATGTACACAACTTCTGCTGTATTGTGTTCTGCACAACTGAGCTCCAGCTGCTTTTTAAATTTTTTTTTCAGCTTGCCTAAATTCTAGAATTAATCCTGACAGGCAAAAAAGTACTTTCACAGGCTCATATCCCCACATGAATCAAGCTCTCAGATCTGGGATCCTGGAACTCAGGAACAAAAAACCCCACGAAACTTAAAGAGTCATCATCGTCAATTAGAATCAGTACATGGTACCTGCAGGGAGAACAATGTGATGCTCATGTTTCCCCCAAGATGTCTGCTACCCACCTTTGCTCCAGTTATGGTAAAGGTCACAGAGCTGCTTATCTGTCCATCTCCTAAATTACAGCCAATTTCCCCACCCATCATCCCAGCACCCATTAGAGTTGCTACCCTACTATGACCATCTAGTTGCTGGCCCTAAGGCTAGGTCTTCAGATAATATCCTTCCTTCATGGAGTTCTGAATAATGCCCATTCTTGGAAGGGACTTTGTCTTAGCCTGGGAATCCATATTACTCCTTTTTAAGACAAATCTGTTCAATGTAGCTGGTCTCTGATCTGTTAGGAATCCTGGCCAAGATTTCCTTGACACACCCTGTTCCAGTCAACCTGTTTAGAATTATCACTGTAGCAGCTTCAGGTCTCCCTGCTAACAGAGCTTCCTTCCCTGAGGTGACAATGTGTCATCTCTACATCCCCTGTACTGCCTGACACACAGGAGAGGTTTGATACACTCACTTCTCCTTCTGCAGGCTCTCAATCTGCTCAGCTAGCACTCTCTCCTCCTGCTGCATGGCCGCACGCTGCTGCTCCGTCATGTCCGTCTCCATGGCTGCATCACCAGTCAAGGCCTCTTCTGGGACATCAGACATGGAGGGCAACCCAACGGCAACAGGAGAGGACGGACTTGGATAGTTTCCTCGATGAAGACGCCCCTTTCCCTGCAAGGAAAACCACATGTTATAAAGTATATTGTGTGACTGCATCCGTTTTTATGTGGCCCATTTAGGATAACAAGTGTCCTTCCATCACACCAGATGAATGGCAGAAGTAAATGGAAATATTCTGCGAGGCCTAAGACATTTAGTGTGATATCATTCAGCAAATACATTTAGGTTAATTATTTCTTACAAGAGCACTGGGAAATAGGCACTTCAGTGGGTGGGAGTGTAAGGACACATTGTGTACTAGGATGAGATTCTTCTTTTCCTCTAAACTGCATCCACTCTAAACTAAATATGCACACATGGCTATTTAAACTTAAACCAACTAAAATTAAATAAGTAAAAATTTAGTTCTGCATTCACACTAGCCACATTTCAAATTCACAATAGTCACAGGTGGCCAGCAGCTACTGTATTGAACAGTGCAAACAGAAAACATTTCCATCATCACACAAAGTTCTGATGGACAACACTGGTTTTTAACTTTACAGAGCACAATCTCTCTAGGAAGAGTATGGATACATGCCCTGAAACTCGGTTTCATTAAAAAAAAAAGTCATGTAAATATCACAGGGTGCTAGTGAAAGATATTCTCTGATAACAACTTAAGAAACTTTCTTGAGATCAGAGAGAAAAATCTCATTGCTTTTAAATTGATTAGTTTATACAAAACTTTAGTTTCTGATAATGCAGACTAAGTATTTCAGATTAAATCTCCTGCTGAGAACAACTGGAAGAAACACAAAAAAATCAACATATACTTAAAGGAACTAGAAAGCTAACAAAATAGAGGTCAAGGAGAGACTAGCCCAGCACTGAGGGCTAATAGAAATTTAAGAGGTTGCTGAGAGTATGAGCAGAGCTTCTGACAGGCTATATCAGCAGTCAGCAAACTATGGCTCATAAGCCAAATCTGGCCTTGTACCTGATTTTGTAAATGAAGTTTTACTGGAATACATTCATGCTCATTAATTCACACATTATCTATGGGTCTTCTGCAGAACAATGGTAGCATTAATTGTTGCAACCAAGACTGTATGGTCTACAAAGCCTAAAATATATACTCTCTTGTCCTTTGCAGAAAGAGTCTGCTAATCTCTGGGGCAGAGAATAAAAGTAGGAGTCCAGACCTATACAAGGGTGTGGGCTGCTGCCCAGCAAAACTTGCATGCCTGGCGCTAGGGTCTCTAAGGTTCGTATCCTAGACTTAAGGCTAAACTGAAATTATAATAGTCTTTGCAGACACTGCAGCCTAGCTTCAAGTCATCTGAATGGTCCAGAAAACTGTAATTCCTAGAACTGGATTAAAGTAATCCCAGATTGCTAGTGCCCTAGGACCTACCTGAAAAATGAAAATATTCTTTGGAGGAAAGTAACATCGTCTCAGGCGTCAAATATTTTTAAATAATTTTTCAAATACTGTGTCTGAATACAATCAAAGGTAACCAAGCACAAAAGGAGATAAGACAATGTACATGAAAATCAGTAAAAACAATAGAAACCAGAAGCCCTCAATGACTCCAGACATTGTGGCTATAAAACAGGCTTAATATAACCATTCTGGAGGAGACAGAAAGATACTGTTGAATTAGTGGACCAGAAGTTAGGTCAGAAGAAAATATAAAGAATCAAGCAGGGAAAACAAATCAAAACAAAACATTTTCTGAAATTATTCAGAAAAGGCCCTGGCTGGTGTGGCTCAGTGGACCCTGTGAACCAAAGAGTTGCCAGTTCGATTCCCAGTCAGGGCACATGCCTGGGTTGAAAGGCAGGTCCCCAAATGGGGGCACATGAAAGGCAACCACACATTGATGTTTTCCCTTGCTTTCTCCTTCCCTTCCCCCTCTCTCAAAATAAATTAAAATCCTTAAACAAAATTTCAGAAAAGAAGGTAAAAGACAGGATACAATAAAAAGATCTACCATATATAAAATGAAAAAACAAAAATAGAAAACAAACCCAGAGAGAAGAGTTATCCTGTAGATGAAACATTAGAGATAATGGCACAGCATTTTCCAAAACCAATAAAAAAATATTAACCTACTGATTAAAGAAAGCCGTCAAGAACTGGTCAAGTGGCTCAGTTGGTTGGAGCATCGTCATCCCATATACCAAAAGGTCGCAAGTTTGATTCCCAGTCAGGGCACATACCTAAGTTGCAGGTTTGATCCCTGGTCATGGCATGTACAGGAGGCAACCAATTGATGTTTCTAACATCAATGTTTCTCTCTCTCTCTCCCTTCCTTTCCCTCTGAAGTCAATAAACATATCCCCAGGTAATATTTTTTTAAAAAAAGAAAAGAAAGCCTCCAATCTCTAAAAGAGATAAAATTTTTAAAAGTTTATACCTGTATACAACTGCAAAAAATCAAAGGCAAGAGAAAATCTTAAAAGCAGTAAGAAAAAAATGTACCTGCAACAAAGACGCATCTTTCCATTAGGAACAATGAGAGGCAGAAAACAATGAATGGTACTTTCAAAGCGATGAAAAAAAAAGTGTCTGCCAACACTAGAATTCTATACACAGCAAAACCACCATCAGGAGTGAAGGAACAATAAAAGACATTTTGAGACAGTCTAAGAGAATCTGACTACCAGACCTATACTAAAGGAAATACTAAAGGGCAGGTACAAAATGACCCAAAAAGAAAAATTAGGGAGGAAGAAATGAACAATAAAAACAGTAAATATGTAAGTCTAAATGAATACTGACTACATAAAACATGAGAATAATATGATGGATTAAAAATATATAATTAAAAATACAACAGAAGAGCAACTATATCATGTAAAAGCTAAAGCATATTAAAGTCTTCACGTTACCTTGGACAAAGATAAAAGTACCAATTAACAGACTTTGATTGGTAACAGATTTTTATTGTAACCTTTGGGTTAATTACTAAAAGAATAGTAAAAGTGTAAAAACTTCTAAACTAACTAAAGAAAAATGGAATGATAAAAAATAGTCAAAAAAAAAAGGCAAAAAAGAAAAAAAGGCAAAAGTTCAGAAAAGGAACATGCATCATAAATGATGTAACAGTAGATTTAACTCCAAATACTACAGTGATTACGTTAAATGTTAACAGATTAAATGCTCTAGTTAAAAATCTGATAATTGTCAGACTGTATTAAAAAAAAAAAAAAAAAAAAAGCTATGCCCCTGGCCAGGTAGCTCAGTTGGTTAAAGTGTCATCCCAATACGCCAAGGTTGCAGGTTCAATTCCTCATTAAGGCACATAAAAGAATCATTCAATGAAGCCCTCACTGGTGTGGCTCAGTGGACTGAGTGCCGGCCTACAAACTGAAAGGTCACCAGTTCGATTCCCAGTCAGGTCACATGTCTGGGTGCTGGGCCAGGTCCCCACTTGGGGGTGTGCAAGAGGCAACAGATGGATGCATCTGTCACATGTTTCTTTCCTTCTTTCTCCCTCCCTTCTCCTCGCTCTAAAAATAAATAAAATCTTTAAAAAATAAAATAGAAAGAATCAACCAATGAATATATAAATGGACAACAAATCCATGTTTTTCTCTCCCCCTTCTCTCTCTCTAACATCAATAAAGTTTTTCTAAAAAAAAAAAAGATTTAAAAAACTATACTAAAGTCTCTAAGGGATGCATATAAAAAATAAAAACTCAGAAAGGCAGAGTGAAAGGATGGGAATAAAGGACATACCATGTCTAGTCAAAAGAGAATTGGTACAGCTATATTAATTCTAGACAAAGTAAACTTTAGGTAAGAAGTGTTAATCTGGATGAAGAGGGGTATTTCATAAAGATAAAAGTTTAAATTATGAAGATGATATAACATTTTCAAATTTGTAAGTACCTAAGAAATGGCTTCAGAAATTTAAAGTAAAATACTGACAAAAACACTCAAAGAAATAGATAAAACTAAAATCAGCACGAGAAAACAATTGTGTACACACATATCAGTAAAGCTATGAAACTGAACAACTTAAACATAACTGACAATAACAGACATATACAGAATTCAGTGTCTAACAATTACATAACACTCATTATTTTAAAGTACATACAGCAAAGACAATACATTTCTTAGGGTTGAAGTAATTTATCTGACCTTTAAAATAATTTAAAGTAAGTTTACTGACAGTGCAATTTCAAAGAGAAAACAAAACACAAAAAACAACTAAACATTAAGAAATTAAGAAATAGACTTCTAACACACTCATGGCTAAAGAAGAAATCACAATGGAAATTAGAAAACATTTTGAACTAAACAACAATATCAAAGCCTGTGTGATACAGTTTAACTCTGCCTATACTAAAGTTATAGTTTTATATGTATATAGTAGAAAAAAGTTAAAAATTAAAGTAAGTTTTTTTTTTTTCAGGAAACCAGATAAAAAACAACACAATAAAGCCAAGGAAAGAAAAAGAAATACACACAGAGTAAATAAACATTAGAAAAGAGAAGATTAAACCCAAAATATGGTTCTTTGAAAAGATTCATAAACAAGTTAAAACCCTGGCAAGACTGATGAAGATTAAAAGAGAGAATTCACAAATAACCAATGGCAGATATGAAAAAGGAAACATCACTAGAAATCTTGCAGACATAAAAAGGATGAGGGCTACTATGTCAATAAATCTGAAATTTTATACAAAGTGCAGAAATTTCTACAAAAATCCAAGTAAGTAATACTGTCAAAAAAGAAATACAAAAAAGTGAATAACCTTATAATTTGAATCCATAACTGCAAACCTTCCAGGGAGAAGACTCTAGGTATGATTTCACTAGCGAATAAGAAATAACATAGAAATCACACAAATTCTTCCAAAGAATTAATAAAAGGACTATTCCCCACTTCATTTCTAGGAACCAGCATAACCTTGATATCAAGGAGTAACATGCATAAACACAGGTGAAAAAAATCCTAAACAATTTGTAAGCAACATGTAAGAAGGATATCACCTCATGACTAAGTTGGATTTACTGCAGTAGTATAGTGATAGTTAAACATCAGAAAATCACT